GTATAGCCAATACACCCTTAATAGAGAACAGGGTTTAACGTTTCTGTTCGGTTTCAGTTGAACGCGCCGAGTTCTATACAGGAATTATATTCGACCGTGAATCGATCGCCGGCGAGGCGGTACTTCATGATTGTTGCCTTAACGATGATCGGTTTGATCTTCATCACCGGTTTATTTTGTGGGAGAGTGACGAGACGAACGATGTTAATGAAGAACAAGTGATAAATCAACCGGCGCGAGTCCGTCCTGAAACCTCTTCGGCTTGTAATTATTAAATAACAGAGACGATTTGTGAGAATCCGGGTGGAACATACAAGTGTTTATACTCGCGAGATATCAAACATGCGAAATACATATTACGGGACAGAAGAATAATATCGTTTTTATATATTTTTTTTTCGTTTTAACGTATATGTAAAAGGGTATATACATATAAGATATTCACATATTGTGTCCACGATTCTACGATGTCATTCATAGTATCATCTTAAGTGTAAAGAAAATGTCTGAATGGGACGAGTGTATCGAGCGTTTTGCGACTGAGCTAGATTTTAACGAGACGTTAACAGAGTACATAACGAACGTGTATGTTCTCCGTTAATCAGAGATGATGACGACGATGAAATTTTATGTCAATATTCTATACATTTGTGATATATAACAAATTAGCAAAGGATAATAAAATGGCGACATTTTATTGCAGGTAGAACCGAGATTATTTGGGCACAAATTACCTTGGTCTTCCATTTTTTAGAGAATGTAATTTGCGTTTGTCAAAAAAAGGATTGTGCTCAATAGCCGACGATTAAAAATCTGCTAGATTAAGGGACAAGACCAAATATTATGTTACAGATGACTTGGAAACTGTAGTTATAGTCAGTTGGATCAGGTAATAAATTTTCTTTACAATGTCATTCTGATTTTGTACGACCCAAGCATATAAAATTCGATGGAATCGAAGACAGTCTCTTAAGAGGTCCGTTGAAAAATCGCTGACAAAGAGTCGTCGTTCCGCAAAAGGAAAAGAACGAACGAACGCGTCTGGTTTTACTTTTACGGCTTCCATTTTAAAGTTCGAACGGTGCTGCAACGGTCGTTGAGGGCGCGACGGTTGCTGGAAAAGCCACGAGCGGTTTGACTGTGTATATGTAACGTCGAAAACGTTTGTAGCGCAGGTCCGCAACGTTGTTTGCGTTGCACGGAGAAAATCCTAGTAGCTAGTAGTACACTAGTGTTGTGAGAGATCGTAAATCGTGTTTCAGTGTCTGGGATGATAGTTGCGAAACGTTCGGTGGACGTGAGTCTCGTTGACCGACCCGAGGGATGATCCAGTGGAATTGATCCTGGAGGTGCGTCGAAGGACACATATGTATCGTTCGGATCTTCACAGGGAGATTCGCGTTTATGCGGCGGAGGTCGGATCGGCGATGTACACGACGTAGGTGTGGCGCGTAAAAGAGAGAGGAGGCACGTATGGGTTTGTAATGAAGAGGAGAGCGACGAGGTTGAATTGGATTAACTTTCCCCGTTTTAAAAGCCGATCGATCGACCGAAAGTAATCCGGGGACGAGTAAAATCTGGCTGACTTGGCTCGGCCTGTAAAATCTATTTCTCTCTGCTTGGTAAATATCGTTTCTCTCGCCTCGTAACACACCGTGTGGGTGCGTGTGCGTGAGCGTACCGTGTCTGCGCCTATGCGTCTCCGTTCGCCGAGTCGTGGCGATCGGCCGCGACAACCTTTGGAGGGAGAGGTTTCGTACCGAGTCACTGGGCTGGTGGCGCGTGTATACACGCTCTCAGGAGCGCGCGCGCGCGCGTCTCTCGTGTGTTGTCACGCGCGCGCATTAACGGAATTCACGATCGGACACACGGGTACTCTCAACAAATGTTTAAATGGACGCATCGTCCATCATCACCCAAGTGTCGCGGGATGACGAGCTAGGCCAGTTTAACAATGGGAAAGGTAAGCGGCCCCACCGCCAAGCGACCTCCTCCTCACCGCCCCCCTCCCCCTTCCTTCCATTCGTTTATTTTTCTCTCGATCGTCCACCCAGATGCTGGATGGAATCTGCACCTGTTACGGACTCCTCACCTAACTTCACCTCTCGCCTCCTCTTTTCCTCTCGCCCTCGTTTTCTGCCTCTGGCCTCGCCTCGTTTTACCTCGTCCCCTTCCCTCTCCTCCGCTGTTTTCTTTCACCCGAGTGTCGCGTGTTACTTATTTGATCATACCTTACCGCTCGTCACGACGTTTCTAAACATCGACGATGAAAACAACGCCGAACGGAAACGTTCCCCTCCGAGCGACGAGAGCAAACATGTTTACGTTGCTCGGTCTCACGTTTTACTCTCGCGTCCTCGCTTGCACGTCTAATAATGTCTATTATATAAAACTAGCCGATCGACGGCAGATGTTTCGAACGAAATTGCTGACAGAGCCGTTCGGAAAGAGCTACGGGAAGACGGTGTCCACCGATTTACAAGACGTAATTTTTTGCCTAAACGCAGCCCAGTTACCGCAACAGAATGAAGTGGCCAGCAGCAACGGTCCAGCAGCCGGTGGCAAAAAGCCAAGAGGGCGTGGACTACTGCGATCTCTGCTCTGCTGTCTCGGCAGGGGACGGGGGAGCAGTTCGAAGAGCTCGAAGACTAGCTCGCTGCAGGGCGACGGGCACGGATCGCCCTCGCTAGGCACCGAATCACCGCGGTTCCTACTACCGCCTGTACGACACCAGGATATGCACAAGAAGTGCATGGTGATTGATTTGGATGAAACGCTAGTGCATAGTTCTTTCAAACCGATCAACAACGCTGACTTTGTTGTTCCTGTAGAGATTGATGGGACAGTGCATCAAGTGTATGTTTTAAAGAGGCCTTACGTGGATGAATTCTTACAGAGAATGGGTGAACTCTACGAGTGTGTATTGTTCACAGCGAGTCTGGCAAAGGTACATAAGCATCGAGTGGTTTCTAGAACACAAATGAACGATTAGTATCTAAGATTGTATCAACTGTTTACAGTACGCCGATCCGGTAGCAGATTTGCTGGACAGATGGGGAGTGTTCAGAGCGAGACTGTTTAGAGAATCCTGCGTCTATCACAGAGGGAACTATGTGAAAGATTTGAATAAGCTAGGACGGGATTTGCAACAAATCATCATCGTCGACAACAGTCCTGGCAGTTACATCTTCCATCCAGATAACGCGGTAAGTTCTAACGAAAATAGAGAGAAAGATGAGAGAGTTTGATATGCTTTTGTTTCTGTATAGGTACCGGTGGCGTCTTGGTTCGACGATATGACGGATTCGGAGCTGTTAGACCTGATACCGTTCTTCGAGAAACTGAGCAGCGTGGAGAACATTTATACAGTCTTGTGCAATAGTAATCACCCTTACAATCAAGTACCTCCGGTTGTACAGAACAGCCCAAGCCCAGGACCAGGTCTGCTGGGTGCCTCCTAGCCCCGCCTGAACTCTGGCAGGCTGGCCAGTATCGTAATCGCTCAATGTGCTCTGAGAAGAATCCTCGCGGGATTGTTCCGCATTGCCAGCTTATTGTGCGACGGCGGACAGCTAGGAATGACCCGCTGAAACGCTGGGCCGAGACACGATTACCCGGAAACGAGGAGAATACTCCGCGCCCTACACACGGTTCACAGGCTGCTTTCTCGTTGGCTTATCCTCCCCCCCATTGAGCAAGTTGTCCACGACGGATACGACGACGAATCTTTCACCTGAGGAAAATCGAAATAGCTCAATTGGTTCTAGCGACTAAGAGAACTCGTCCGATCGAAACGGGACAGACTTTAAATATAACTTATTGGTTGCGTAATCTACGCGCGTGTTTCCGTGTCTGGTGTACTCAAGAAGAGGAGGAAACAGCACTGGTCACCAGTGAACGCGGAAAAACAGTGAACCGAACGTTTTTTATCGGGGTAAGTGCATGAAATTTGGATTTACACTTAGAGAAAATCGTCCGGGATAATCGGCTGGATACATCGAGTCGTTTGGATGGACCGTTCAAATCTCTCACCTCGACGTTAGTTGATCCACTTTCGCATTGCTTTTAAGCGAGTCTCTCGTAGCGTATCTAAATAACGAAATTAGCTAGCTTTTATATCAAGTTGATGAGGCTGACAATTCCAAATAGTTACGAATCGATCGTTCCGTGGAATTAATCGATGATTTTTGGTTAATTTCTTATTGAGACATTCGCGACTAATCAAAAGTATCAAACCTTTCGTTTACCGCGTGTATAAAAAAGCATGGGAATTGTTGAAGATAAAAAGAAGGTTAGGTCAATGCATATCACTATTTCCCTCCAGGCAATCGCGTGGACGATGAACAAGCGTTACGTTAATTAATCATTAACAAATTAGAATTACGTAGAGAGACGTCGGAGATATATAGACACAGTTTACGAATGTAAATACGTTTTACTAACAGAGATAGCTGTCGTTATACGCTTAATTCGCGCGTTAAAACAATGTAAATGTACAGAGAGAGAGAGAGAGAGTACCGCGCGTTATACTTTCGCATCCATCGAACTGTCGTTACTCGTGCCTTTTTTCATTTTATTCATAAATCGTCGACGTTAAAACGACACTTCGCCCATTTAACGCGAGAACTTGCATCAAGAATTGATTAGGAATTTGATAATGTATCACGTTTTATATACATAAGCCGGAGATTTTATTGGCCGTCGATCAAGAAAGTATAACCAGACATAATAGGTTCGTTTTTAACTTTAGTTTTTAATACCAGTTTCTCTTTACTGATACTTATCTAATGTTACGTTGTTATTTATCGGTGAACGAAAGCTAAGCCTGACGTTTTATTATAGTTAAAAGGGCTGGGGTTTACAGAGTTAAGAATATTATACAACAATAAGTCGTATACACATTGCATAATACATATTAAATGGCTTCCAACTCTTACACGTTCTGTTAGTTTCAGATTTCTACACGTTATGTGACCGGAACAATCGATACTATTATTGATTATGGTCATATAATAATAAACAAGTGTAGGTAGATCGAAATTTATCAATTTCTGACAATTTTTTATATATAAGGTGTGCGAAAACTAGTGTAAGATATTGAAATCCGAGGTTCCTGATTTTAAACAACATTTTTTTTTAGCTAAAAAGTTGTCCGAGATGTGGTTAAGGAGTTATTAACAAGAAACAAAGGAACTACATGAATAACAATGCAAGGAAATGAATAACAATTAATATATTTAATTGTTATTCAAATGGAATCGATAGGGAAGTGATAGATTGTTGATAAACCGGGCGTCCGGATCCAACGCTTCCGATTCATAGCTCGCTCCAATCGAGCGCTCTGATTGATCAGGGTTTTTCAACTCCTCAACCACGCTTTGGACAACTTTTTCGCTAAGGAAAATGTTTAAAATTACGTCAAGAACCATTTGAATATCTTACACTAGTTTTGGGACATTTTAACGATGGAATAAGCAATTTGTATATAAATGTTGAAACTTTATACTTAGATTATTATTATTATTATTATTATTATTATTATTATGATTATGATTTGAAAAGGAACAGCATACTATGGAACATTTGTACTTAGTAACCGTACCTCGCCACCTCGTATAATAATTGCTTTAATGTTTTAGGGAGAGAAAGATAGAAAGAAAGAGAGAGAGAGAGAGAGAATCGTTTCTTAATGATTGTTTATACACGTTTTTAACGAGAGATTATGCCGAGGTAACGGGCATCGAAACGACTCGAAGCGGTGCACCTTCTTTTCGATATTGCGTATACAAGGCATGGGAACCAGTTGAAATCTGAGACAGTGTTTTTTAAATGCCGCAATATATCTTTTATAACGTTCTCGTCTACTGGCAGTCGTAAATTTAAGATACCGAGCGATTACTACGATGACAGTGTGTACACGTTCCCGTGAAAAGATTCCCAAGGAACCGACGTTCTTTTCCCCCGTTATCGCCGGGGGACCTTCGATAACGAGACTCGAACATGGAAAATATCAGAGAAACAGAGAGAAGAACAGAGTTTAACGTTGCATATGTTCGATGGGAGATTTCTTATCGGGTCTCGACGTTTCATATACACATACACACACGCGGTGTACATGTAAATATGTCCCTGAGCAACCGTGATGTCGTGCTTCCGTAATTAATTAACATTAACAGTCGGATCGTAACGATTTGTAAGCCGGAGGACGGGCCCGGGAGGGGGCACGTCCGTCGATTATCTTTTAACCGATGTAATCAACGTTTCTTTTGCCGTGTTTTTAATCTCTCCAAGCATTTTACTTTGTTTTCTTTTAATCGTATATCCTTAACGCTATGCAAGATGTTTAACACGATATGTAAAACTGAGCACTGGGAAAACTGTGTTTAAAAAGTGATACGTAATTAGGTGTAACGAATATTTAGGTAGTCGAATTAATTTTTAATATAACTTTTGTACAGCCGATAGATGCGTACGTAAGAAACGTTCTCTCGTGTTTTAATCAAATTAACAAATCGTTTTACGTAGCTCGGTTTTCTCAGTGCTTAAATGGAAAATCAGCGACGACCGAACGTGTAAGGGGATGATGAATAGCAAGGGGGAGAGAAGAAGGGTGCGCGTGTGCCTGCGTGTATGTACGACACAAAGTTGCGTCTAGTTTAAATAAACGATGAAAGAGAGAATAATAATGGTAAACAGCCGTTCGCCGAGCGACGGCTTAATCGAAACTTTTTATATACGAGAAACAAAAAGAGCGTAGGAGGAGGAGGAGGAGGAGGAGCTCTTCAGTTGTTGCCCTGTTGCACACTGGACGATTGATAGATTATTATTATTATATTATTATACATATACATATATTGTACAAAAGGGATAATTCGTCACAAACTGAATGAAATTTGTTAGGGTTCGACGAGATTTTGCATGAGAGGGAGAGAGAGAATGTGCATGTATAAAAGGAAACGATTGAGTAAAGAAAAAAAAGAGAAGAACGACAACAACCGACAAACATAATTAACGATATTGCCTTGATTTGTAAATAAAAAGAACTTAATTACTTCCACTAAAAAAAAAAAAGAAACCCTTTTCTGCGGATACCATGCGGGCTCACCCCCACCTCCCTCTTCGATTTCGTATGTTTTCTACTGATAAAAAACCGCGGCTGATTTTTTAACAGCGAGAATATTTTGTACAGTTACGTGTGACGTAAAATAAATATTATATATATATATTATA